TCCAAGTATCAAAGTCAAAAACAAGAACGGACAGTTAGCAACAAGAAGAGATGAGATCCTTACGGTAATCAAACTGCTGGCAAAAAGTCAAAACAAAGAAAATATCATGAAAGAAGCGAAGCCAGAAATACTTACATGAAAAACCACCTATTCAATATGTGCCTTTCTAACAGTACAGTAACAACCAGATAGCAAAAAGCTTCTAGGGTCACACTAATAATCTACAAGAAAGGAGATCTTTATAAATTAGAAAATTATAGACTAACAAGTCTTCTAATACCACACTTATACAGTGTGATTTATTAACTCACCATCAAACTTTAACATATGATAGCTAATCCAATTACCAAAAAAAATGTTAATGAACATATGTCCTATTTCAATGATTTACGAAATTATAACACTTTAAAGTTTTAATTTTTATATCATAATTAACTGCTACATTTTTTTTAAAACACATAAAAATTACAAATATTATTCAAAATAGCCTCCTGCTGGAATACATGCTTCACAACGACGAATTAAAGAGTTCTTCAGCCGAATTAAAATGTCTGGTTGATTTCTTATTTCAGTAGGTGCCCTTTGTATTCTGTTTAATAACTGTTCTCGTGTGTTAATTTCCACTTGATACACAATTTGTTTCATTTGACCCCATAAGTAGAAATCCAGTGGATTAAGGTCAGGGGATCTAGGTGACCAATCAAATGGACCATTATTATCAATCCACTTGTTTGGAAAATATTGGTTTAACCACTCGACAACTACTAGTCCGCGATGAGGTGGGGCACCATCGTGCTGGTACCACATATTTTGAATTACATTAAGAGGTATATCTTCAAGTAAATCAAAAAGTGTATTGTTCAAAAGAAATCTGTAATTTACTAGTACATGCAAACCTAGTAAATTGTTGTTAAATATTCCACTCCAAACGTTGGTGCTGAAACGTTGTTGAAATTTCCTTGGTCTAATCGCATGCGGATTTTGTAATGTCCAGAGATGTTCATTATGGTAATTATTTATACCATCTCGTGTAAAACATGATTCATCTGTCCAGAGAACATTTGAAATGAAGTCATTATTTTGGGTATTTTGCTGCAATAACCATTCACAAAATGCTAACCGTTGTTGATTATCTCGTGGCTGTAGAGCTTAAACATTCTGTTTACGATATGGATGAAGGACTTCGCGGTTCAATTCGCGCCATGTAAAATTTTGACTTACATGTATGTTGTGTGCTATTCTTCGAGTGCTTATGGAAGGATTATCAATGACAGCATTAATTACAACTTCTTCGTTCTCTACATTAACTACATACGGTCGAATAGCTTTTGCTGGAGCAGGATTACCTGTTTCTCGAAATCTTCTGAAAGAATCGCTAAAAACTGAGTAATATGGCAAATGCCGCTGTGGAAATCTTTCTCGCTATTGTCGTACTGATTGTCGAACATTTCCATTGCAAGAACCACACACGAAAATTATATCAGCATACTCTTCAGTGCTATAAGCGTACATTTTGAGTTTCTTCTTGTATGTAATAATTAAACCTTACTGCAAACTGACATATTACAATGACAACTTTGTTTTTGTTGATTGTTTGATTTTACTGACTATTGATGAATTCGCTGCAAAAAACTTTAAAGTGTTATAATTTCGTAAATAATTGAAATAGCACATATGTTCATTAACATTTTTTTTGGTAATTGGATTAGCTATCATGTCAAAGTTTGATGGTGAGCTAATAAATCACACTGTATAAACTCCTCGCAAGAATACTAACGACCAAACTTGAGAACAAACAGTCGGATTCAGTAGTTTAAAGCCATTTTGAACGCACTTCACGTATGTTGAGTTGACTATAAATATACGAAGGTAATACACAATATACAGGCTGTCCCGCAACGATTGTACAATACTTCACCATCGTATTCTCTGATAGAAAATAGAGAAAAAATGAACCGAAAAATGGAGATATTCAAAATTTTAGTTGTGTTACCTATTCTTAACATAATTATTTTATAATATTAACCCCTTCATGTGGAATTAGAAGAAACAGGGTTGAGAAGAATTGATGAAAATGCCTCAACCAGCATTAGAAGAATTTCTGCACAAAAAGTCATCAAGAAAACAACCGTTCACCGCATTTTAAGAAAGCAGTTACTTTATCCGTATCACTACAACGCTGTTCAAGCTTTAACAGAAAATGATGGAAAAACGATTAATTTTTTGTAGGTGGGCCATACGTCGACTTTCCCATAAACATTGTGTTTACGCATGAAGCAACGTTTACTCAAAACGGAATTTTTAATATCCATAATGCGCACATTTTGAGTAATGAAAATTCCCATGCAATACTAGAAACTCATCATCAGTGGCGATTCAGTGTTAACGTATGTACCGGAGTTATAGGTGACCAGTTATTAGCTTCATTTTTTCTTCCAAAGAGATTGACAGCCGATGCTTACATACATTTTTTACAAAATAAACTTACATAGTCATTTGGTGAATTACCTTTGAAAATACTACAACATTGCTACTTTATGCACAATGGAGCAGCAGCACTTTTTGTAATTAATGCATTAGCCGAGGAGGTCCTGTTTCGTGGCCACTTCATTTACCAGATTTAAATCCCTTAAATTTTTGATTTTGGGGACATGTATAGTATGCTGGTGACGTATTATACAATCGTTGCAGGATACCAGTATATACAGATGCGACCGTGTCAATAAAACTACATGAAAGCAAAAATCCTGGCCAAGTTACCAGGAGTTCGAACCAAGGTGATGCGTTATCTCTTAAACAACTTACTGCAAACTGATTATGAGTATTAAAAACTTGCTTAGGAAGAAAGAGGCCTACTATTGACGGGCAAAGATTAACAAATTTAAAGTTCAGAGACGATATAGTTTTATTCTCCGACAATTTTAAGGAGATAGATGTAATGTTGTATGACCTCCACCGAGGCACATAGATCTAGCTAAATCAACACAACCAAACCAAAATACATGACGACCTTAGTTCCTAGTGAAACAACTCTCAGAAAACTACATATGTACAGTCATGTTCACGNGAGCATTTTTTGAAATCACGAAAATTTGACTTTTTGGCTATAACTTAAAAACAAAAGAAGATAGAGGTTTGGTGTTTGCGGGATTGGGTTAGTCTCGAAAAAAGAAATCGGGACATGGCACCTACTTTTTTCGTGTCTCTTATAGTTTCTGAGATAGCCTATAATAACACCCAAATTTGCCCACTCTGTACAGTCATGTTCACGGAAAATGCACACTCAAGGTCAAGCGCTGTTGTGAGATCCGACATGCCGCTGGCTTGGCTGGCTAAACGGGCTGAGCCGAACGAATACGAGCCACGAGCTTCGTGTGCGCTCGGCTCAGCCCGTTTAACCAGCAGCATGTCGGATCTCACAACAGCGTTTGACCTTGAGTGTGCATTTCCCGTGAACATGACTGTACATACACCTTGGGCTTTCAGCTATCCAGGGCATCCAGCTTTCACACGCTGGACTGATATCAAAAAAATAACGACAAATTGAATACAAAGTCCGCAGGATAGAAAGAACTGGACAAAAATGAGAGTGGCCTATGTTCACCAGTAGATGTTAAGGACTGAAGAATGATGATGAAGTGTTCTTCGAAATGTTTTGTCAAAATTTTAATTGCCAACTAATTGAGAGATTTATGATGCTACTCATAACAGTTTTCCAATCATAAACGTATTGTGCTCAAAGCTTGCATTCTATAACTATAGGCAGTCTTAGGTATATTTGTTATCCTTGAATAAATTTACAAGCTCAGTTTTAGCAGTGTTTATAAAACGTGTAAGAAATGAATTGTTGTGTGATCCCTGATTAGATTATGAATAAAACCATCAGGAAAATAAGAATTAATTAAAAAAGCACACAGTTGAGAAGAAAAGTTGAGTTGTATACCACGTTGTTATCGAATGCTTGTGAAAATTCGTAATAAAGGATATCAAATAGTCTTTCATATCAGATGTATATTAAAACCGATATAAGATGGCAAAATGAAACTCAATTGGTTAACTCAATAAATTGGTGTATCTTTCAAAAAAATAATTTCAAATTAGTTTTTTTTGATATTTTTAAACGACCTCGATCGTTAATAATGGAATTTCATTGAGCATATGGTGGTTCCATATAAGTAGGTAGACTCTGTCACCTACAGTGGTCACGTAACTGTTTTCATTTTACCAGAAGCATTCCTTTTACCAAATAAACATCGATCGAAATGAACCGTTGCCATCCGTAATAATAAAATTAATATAACTCGCACAACGCATCGCTTATTTAGTTTTTTTTTCTTTTTTTAATTTTTATCAACCGCGTTTCCGTGGAATTTTTATTAACGACTACGATATTATAATGGCTTTGTTTTGCATTCGGAACAAATCGAGCGATATATCAAGCCCTGAGGTCAATGTATGTTCTCGATTCCCGGGTTACTTTTAGACGTGCGCTTTTCGTAAATTCGATTCTTGTTACATTTCGTAATCCAAAAATATACTCGGAAAATAGGTTTGTTTGTTTGATTACAATTTGTATGTATCGTTGAAAAGTGAAATTTTGGGGAATTTTTGTCAGAATCGATTTCGGGAATAAAATTTTCATCAGACACAACGAAATTATTTTCGAGTTTAGTTCAAATAAACTTAACCCTCGAAATAATATAAGCATATAAACTCACCGACCAGACAAGGACGCCTTATTTTTCGACTTAACTGTGAACATCGATATAAATAGCGAGAAATTTGTAAATAAAGGTTTTAATTTTGAGAATTAATTTTTAGTCATTCTTTGACGATGAAGTGAATTTAATACTTTTAACTACATTATCATATAGGTTCGGTTGAGGAAAATAGATTACGACAAAAATTGTGGTTGAGTGATACGAATAACAGGAAATTTATAAATTAATTTTAAATAACCAACTCACTTTCACTAAAATAAAATTAAATAAAAAATTTACCTTTACTTAATTAAATATTCCAAAAACCAATGCACAAAAAAGCTGATGTACACAATCACAAACAAAATTTAATAACAACACAATAAAATTTAAAAGCAAACAAAACCAAATTCTTACAATTACAAATTTTTTCGAGACATAAATCTAGATTCAAGAAAATTTTTAAAACAGACGCACACAATCCATGATTATAAATGAAGAAATCTAACGCTTACTACCAAACATAACAGTTATTTAAAGTTCGTGATTCACTTTGGTTTTTAGTGGGGAGTTCAAAAGCTCTGTCGTCGACACGTTGATCAGAAGTCGAAAGGGAACCGCAGATGAAACGAAATGGTTTAACCGTACCATAACAGCGTACCTAATTGACTGAGCGAAGTTGTTACCTTGAGTGTCCGTAACCCATGTTAAATGACGTCATAGTACCGTTTCAGGATTGCTTATATTTGGACTCGAGAACCAGATGCTCACAGTCACAAGACAGACTTTAGATGAGGTTAACTGCATCTGGCTTCTGCAGAGGATGCTGTTTTGCATTCATTTCATTTCATTTCATCTTGTTGAGGAATTGCATGATGTGTATTGAGAAACTAGATGCGTCTAATGAGTTCTGGTAATTATGATTTTACAATTTATAAATAGAAATGATGTGTTAAAAGAAAATGTTTCATTCAGAATCGTTTTAAAATCTATAAAAATCAACCAAAAAATATTAACTCTAATTTTATGTATTAAGTAAAAATAAATGTTTTAAAATTAACGAAAATTTTTTCTCCGGAACGGTTTGGAATTAATGAAACATTTTGAGTCTATAAAACATTGCTGGAAAAATACCAAATTTTAAGTTTCCAAGCTTTTTTATCAAAAAGTTTTATAAATCGCTTTATCAAAATTTCACGTTTTTTTGAAAATCAAGTTTCTTTTCTATCTTTCCGGAACGGTTTTAAATTAATTAATTAATTAAACTATTTGTAGTTATAAAAGATTGTTGAGCTTCCAAGTTGAACGCCTTTTTTTTCCAAAAATTTTCATAAATCGATTTAATTAAATATGACGTTATTTGAAAATGAAGTTAAAGAAATGTTTTTTCTCCGAAACGGGTTGAAATTAATTAATGAAACATTTTGAGACTATAAAACATTATTGGAGGTTGCTTTATACCAAATTTTAAGTTTCCAAGTTCAACGGCTTTTTTACAAAAAATATTTACAATAGCTTTTAGGCCACTATGGAAGCAGGAATTCCTAATTTTAAAAGAAAATGTGTCATTTTAAAAGTAGCCATTGTTACTTTTAAAGTTTGTGATGGAACTTTTTAGAGTTGATGATGCTATTTGAAGTAAAACATCTCGTTTTTGATATAGAAAAAGTAATTTCTTAAGTTGAAACAGCAATCCTTTAAGATTTTAATTTCATAATTTTCAAGTTGATGTCATTTTTAAAGTTGACAATTCTATATTTAAAGTAGAAAACGTTGTTTGACTTTAAGGTCATTTTGGAAGCAAGAAATCACACTTTTAAAGGAATATGTGTCATTTTAAAAGTAGCCATTGTTACTTTTAAAGTTGTGATGGAACTTTTTAAAGTTGATAATGGCGTTTGAACTAAAACATCTCGTTTTTGATACAGGAAAAGCAATTTCTTAAGCTTTTAATTTTATAATGTGCTAGTTGATGTCATTTTTAAAGTTGGAGATTCTATATTTAAAGTAGAAAACTTTGTTTGACTTTTAGGCCACTTTGGAAGCAAGAATTCCCACTTTTGAAAGAAAATGTGTCATTTGAAAAGCAGCCATTGTTACTTTTAAAGTTTGTGATGGTACTTTTTAAAGTTTATGGTGCCATTTTAAGTAAAACATCCCGTTTTTGATATAGGAAAAGTAATTTCATAAGTTGAAATAGCAATTCTTTAAGACTTTAATTTCATAATTTTCTAGTTGATATCATTTTTAAAGTTGGAAATCCTATAATTAAAGTAAAAAGCTTTGTTTGACTGTTAGGTCACTTTGGAAGCAGCAATTCCTACTTTTAAAAGAAAGTGTGTCATTTTAAAAGTAGAGAGTGTTACTTTTAAAGTTTATAATGGCACTTTTTAAAGTTGATGATGCCATTTGAAGTAAAACACCTCATTTTATATATAGGAAAAGTAATTTCTTAAATTAAAACCGCATTTCTTTTAGATCTTAATTTTATAATTTTCAACTTGATGTCATTTTTAAAGTTGGAGATTCTATATTTAAAGTAGAAAACGTTGTTTGACTTCAAGGCCATTTTGGAAGCAAGAAATCACACTTTTAAAAGAAAATGTCTCATTTTAAAAGTAGCCATTGATACTTTTAAAGTTTGTGCTGGTACTTTTCAAAATTGATGGTGCCATTTGAAGTAAAACATCTCGTTTTTGATATAGGAAAAGTAATTTCTTAAGATGAAACTGCAATTCTTTAAGATTTTAATTATGTAATTTTCAAGTTGATGTCAATTTTAAAGTTGGAAAACGTTGTTTGACTTTTAGGACACTTAGGATGAAGGGATTCCCACTTTTAAATAAAATGTGTCATTTTAAAAGCAGAGAGTTTTACTTTTAAAGTTAGAGGTGGCATTTTGAAGTTAATGATGCCATTTGATGTTTAAGATCTCATTTTTCATGTAGGAAATGTAATTTCATAAAATGAAACCTCAATTCTGTAATATGTTACATTTATCATTTTCAAGTTGATATCATTTTAAAGTCGTACATCCTATACTCAAAGTAGAAAACATTGTATGACTTTTAGAATATTTTGGAAGCAGGAGTTGCCACTTTAAATGAAAATTTGTCATTGTAAAAGCAGAGTGTTTTACTTTTAAAGTTAGAGGTAACATTTTGAAGTTAATGATGCCATTTGATGTTTAAGATCTCATTTTTGATGTAGTAAATGTAATTTCATAAATTGAAACCTTAATTGTGTAATATTTTACTTTTATGATTTTCAAGTTGATATCATTATTAAAGTCGGACATCCTATACTCAAAGTAGAATCGTTGTATGACTTTTAGGACATTTTGGAGGCAGGAGTTCCCACTTTAAATGAAAATTTGTCATTTTAAAAGTAGAGAGAATTGTTTTTAAAGTTGGGTTGGGCACTTTTAAAGTTGGAAATAATTTTAGGATCATTTTTAAGGAGGAAATCCCACTTTTAAAAGAAAATATGTCATTTTAAAAGTAGAAAGTGTTACTTTTAAAGTTAGAGATGGCATTTTTAAAGTTGATGGTGCTATTTGAAATTTAAAACCTCATTTTTGATGTAGAAAAAGTAACTTGTTCAATAAAAACCTCAATTTTCCATGATTTTAACATTATAATTTGTAACTTGACGTCATTTTAAAGTTACTAATTCTATATTTAAAGTACACAACGTTGTTTAACTTTAAGGATACTTTGAAAGCAGGAATAAACGAAAATGTGTCATTTTTAAAAGTAGAGAGTGTTAGTTTTAAAGTTTGTGATGTCACTTTTTAAAGTTGATGACGCCATATGAAGTTAAACACCTCATTTTTGATGTAGAAAAAGTAATTTCTTAAATAGATACCGCAATTTTTTAAGATTTTAATTTTATAATTTTCAAGTTGATATCATTTTTAAAGTCGGACATCCTATACTCAAAGTAGAAAACGTTGTATGACTTTTAGGATACTTTACAGGCTGCAATTCGCACTTTAAAAGAAAATTTGTCATTTTAAAAGTAGAGAGTTACTTTTAAAGTTGGAGAAAATACTTTTAAAGTTGATGATACAATTTGAAGATTAAAATTTTATTTTTAATTTAGAAAATATAATTTCTTAAATAGAAATGACAATTAATTAAGAATTTTATTTTATAACTTTCAAGTTGACGTCACTTTTAAAGTTGGAAATCCTTTTAGAATACTTTGGGAGGAGGAAATCCCATTTTTAAAAGAAAATATGTCATATTAAAAGTAGAAAGTGTTACTTTTAAAGTTAGACATGACATTTTTAATGTTGATGCTGCCATTTAAAGTTTAAAATTCTATATTTAAAATAGAATACGTTGTTTGACTTTTAGGATACTTTAGAAGCAGGAATCTTAGTTTTAAAAGAAAATGTGTCAATTTAAGAGTAAAGGGTGTTACTTTTAAAGTTGGAGGTGGCATTTTGAAGTTAATGATGCCATTTGATGTTTAAGATCTCATTTTTGATGTAGTAAATGTAATTTCATAAATTGAAACCTTAATTCTGTAATATTTTACTTTTATGATTTTCAAGTTGATATCATTGTTAAAGTCGGACATCCTATACTCAAAGTAGAATCGTTGTATGACTTTTAGGACATTTTGGAGGCAGGAGTTCCCACTTTAAATGAAAATTTGTCATTTTAAAAGTAGAGAGAATTGTTTTTAAAGTTGGGTTGGGCACTTTTAAAGTTGGAAATAATTTTAGGATCATTTTTAAGGAGGAAATCCCACTTTTAAAAGAAAATATGTCATTTTAAAAGTAGAAAGTGTTACTTTTAAAGTTAGAGATGGCATTTTTAAAGTTGATGGTGCTGTTTTAAATTTAAAACCTCATTTTTGATGTAGAAAAAGTAACTTGTTCAATAAAAACCTCAATTTTCCATGATTTTAACATTATAATTTGTAACTTGACGTCATTTTAAAGTTACTAATTCTATATTTAAAGTACACAACGTTGTTTAACTTTAAGGATACTTTGAAAGCAGGAATAAACGAAAATGTGTCATTTTTAAAAGTGGAGAGTGTTAGTTTTAAAGTTTGTGATGTCACTTTTTAAAGTTGATGACGCCATATGAAGTTAAACACCTCATTTTTGATGTAGGAAAAGTAATTTCTTAAATAGATACCGCAATTTTTTAAGATTTTAATTTTATAATTTTCAAGTTGATATCATTTTTAAAGTCGGACATCCTATACTCAAAGTAGAAAACGTTGTATGACTTTTAGGATACTTTAGAGCCTGCAATTCCCACTTTAAAAGAAAATTAGTCATTTTAAAAGTAGAGAGAGTTACTTTTAAAGTTGGAGAAAGTACTTTTAAAGTTGACGATACAATGTGAAGATTAAAATTTCATTTTTAATTTAGAAAATATAATTTCTTAAATAGAAATGACAATTAATTAAGAATTTTATTTTATAACTTTCAAGTTGACGTCACTTTTAAAGTTGGAAATCCTTTTAGAATACTTTGGGAGGAGGAAATCCCATTTTTAAAAGAAAATATGTCATATTAAAAGTAGAAAGTGTTACTTTTAAAGTTAGACATGACATTTTTAAAGTTGATGCTGCTATTTGAAATTTAAAACCTCATTTTTGATGTAGAAAAAGTAACTTGTTCAATAAAAACCTCAATTTTCCATGATTTTAACATTATAATTTGTAACTTGACGTCATTTTAAAGTTAC